AGGTTTATTTGCAGAGGTTTGATATTAAGCTTTCTTTCCAACAAACCACATTGCGCATATAAATACATATCGTCGTTTAAAGTGCAAAACCGCGTATCAGCAAAATGCAAAACCGTGTATGTGAAGTTGTAAAAATTATTTTCTAGAGCGTTCAAAATGGTTCTCTTTTGTATAAAGCAATCGCATTTCTGGCTAGTGTATTTCAGGACGAATAGATAAGGATTGAGCTAAGAGCTTGTGTGAGCAAATCCAATTTTTGGCAGCCAATGTCAGTTACGCGGTTTTACAGAATGACGATACGCGGCCTTGTACTTTAAACGACGATATATTTGAAATGTAATACTTTATAGCATTTTATGGCTTATAATTAAGGGTTGCAAATATATAGTTAAATAACTCAAAATACTTAAGTAATTTAAAAAAATATACGTGAATACTTTAACTTGTATGCAGTTTTATAATCAACATTTGATTTTGACGATTTGTGACGCCCAAAAACAAATCAATCATACGCGCTGGTGCACCGGATGTGCAAACATGCAGCGCTTACAAATAATTGAAGAAAAAAAAACAAATACAAACCTAAATTGCAAATGCATGTTGACACCAAATGTATTTACATCGCTCAATGTAGTCAATCTGAAATGGGCATATGACAACGCATAAAACTAAATACAAAACATACGTCACAGCAAAAGCAATTAGATACAGAAAGCGCCACCACCACACAAAATGTCAATAAATTTCAAATCTAGCACTATATACTAATTTTATACAATTCTGCATGTTTTTCTATATACATATGCATATACCTACATATGTATGTGCATATGTTTCCACTGCATGAGGTGAGAAATATGCAAAGTTTTCAGCGGCAATAAATTAAAATATTGATTAGGATATGCACTAGGCTGGATCGTGGAAAAAAGTTTGTAACTGGAACTATTTGAAAAAACCAACCAACAAGTGACTTTGGAAATGTTTTGTTTATATTGAAAAATGGTCGCAGTGGCTGACCTTCAAAATTATAAACAATCTTATTATTTTCATAATATGCTTGCTTAATAAAGATTTTTTTTTAAAGAATCAACTTAAAAAAATACAAACGAACTGAAACTGAAGAATTATCAAATTATGTAATTAGTTAAGTGCTTATATATAACTATATTTGAAATCGGGCGGGATATAATGGGGAGAAGGGTGTTTAAGGCGGGGTTAACCTGCCTTAGGGTTCATGCACTACCTCTTCGTGCCTACACCTTTGGTGAATACCGTTCACCCACCCAGCAAACACAGTTTCAGAAGTTTGAGTAAAATGTATTGCGATTGTAACTATAAATTGAATTCACTTGAAAAAAGATAACAATGATTAGAAAAAGATTAAAAAAGAAGGTGCACAAATAGTGGATTTGATGTTTGTGCGGGTTGAAGGTAGACAGCCCAGCTGCAACACTTCAAGACGAATTTAATAGAAATTAATTTAGTTGATTTGTTTTTTTATTATGTATGTATATACATACATACATACATACATACATACATACATACAGTACAACGTACATTGTACATCGTGAAGAAAAAATATATATGAAATTCACATTTCCTATAATAAATTTTATTTCCACATTTGAAGTACAATTGATAAATAACCTTTGAAATTGATTTGGGAATTAACCATATTCTCAAATAGAGATCAAATTCTCCTTTTTATTGAGAAAGCCGAGAATTTTTAAGACAATATCAAATCATTTTCAAACATAATTGTTTGCTGGGTACGTATTATCTTGATATTTGTATGTGTCATCTTCTACTTGCAAGTAAGCACTGCAGATTAGAGAATCAATTTCGTATAGTATTTTCTTAATGTATATAAGTATCTATATTAGGGTGGTCCAAAATAAGTAAAGTCAGGATTTTAATGCCCTCACCTCCTAGGATTGTTCTATATCAAAAAAAATTTTACCCCTAGTTTTTTATTTTGATATCAAAAAAAAACATTTAAAAGTCTCCCAAGAGCTTTCTCTGAATTTTATATGGGGAGAAAACAACTTTCCATGGAAATAGTATGGAATTCTTGAAAATCATTATTTTTCGATCGGAAAACTATATTTCTCTTCTGGACCACTTTTTAATACTATAGATAGATTATTTATCCCCGTATTGCATTTTCTGGTATTTTTAGGCGTTTTTGCGGACTTATAAAATATATTTACTACGAAAAAATTGTTAAAGGAATAATTGGGTACTATTATTGGGAATATCCTGAAGAAAAAATGAGTTTTCTAGTCGAAAAGTATGGATCTTCAAGAACTCTGTACCATTTCTACGAAATTTTTTTTCCCCTTTGAGCGCTTTGAGCGACTTCTAAATATTTTTTGATTTCAAAATAGGGGGTGAGAGCATACAAATTCCGACTTAACTTTTTCACATGCATTTTTGGAGCACCCTAATCTACACATACATACCTATTATATATATATATGGTTATACTTTCTCCAGTGCATCGTATTGTAAGTTTATTTATTTTAGTATCTATATACTTTAATATGTTGATACAATTATCTGTGATAATACTGCCGCTTGAGGCATATACGCCCTGCCTAATTACATTCAGTTTCCTTCTTTAAATCGATTGTCTATTATTTTGTACATACAATCTATAATTAAAAGACACATTTGTATACACGCATTGCAGTTTTTTTCGAAGTTTTTACATAGTGTATGGGGCTATTATTTATAGCCCATCTAAGTAGTTCTTAATGCTCTTCTCCTCGTTTTATTCCTACCTCTCGCCTTCGAAGTGGCTCCGGTTGATTTTCTGTTAATATGCCTATATGACTACGAACTGTGAAGAATCTCAGAAAACCCAGTCGATGTAGCCAGATTACGAACTACAAAATAACATTTGCTTGTAATCATGTTCGGATAAAATTACAGAAAGTTGGTATACATAGGCTGCGTTTTTTTATACATTCCAGATAATCCCATTTCACAGCCAGAATAAACCGAATGCGTTTGAAATATTCGTTAGCATATCAACAGGAACATTCTAAACATTATGAACATGACGATTCTAAAGAATAAGTAAATAAAAAAGTTTATTCCAAACGTTCAGAATGAATAAACAAATGCAGCCATATTGCTCTGAAATCCCTCAATTATTTGCTAAACAAAATCGGAAAAATCCGTATATCTCAGATATTTTTGGCATAATTAAGGTCTGCAATAGCTCTACTTAAAGAGGGAAAAATATAGTTTGTTTAAGATACAGAAATATGTATGGATTTAATACAAGTATAGGATGTAATTTTAATCCAAAGTTACCGTAACAAATATTTTTAAGATTTTTCTTGAGCTTTTTGATTCACGGAGTCAATGGTTATCAACTAAACTTAGATTTGAAGTAATTTTTTGTTCGCTTTTATGGCAAAGGAGGATTCTACATTTAATTCTAAGAAAATTTTCCGAAGAAACAATGGATCTAAAATCAACTTGGAGTTAGATTTCGAAGAAAATGTGAACATGTTTACTGCTGCGGCCTCTAGTAGAAATTTTAAGAAAAAGTCAAGTGCATAAAAGGATTTCCCGTAATTAACTTATAGCGAGTTTTTATTCAATTCAAGCACTTCTTTACGACTCTACAGCAATATCCAATGAAACTTATTTTCGCAATGTGACATACTCAAAATTGATTTTAGACCCATTTGTTTTTCGGCAAATTTTCTTGGAATTACACGTAAAATATTTCTGTGCTATACGCGCATAGTCGAAAAAGTCTCTCATATCTACAAATTTACCAAAATCGTTTTGTAGATGTGATGTGGAGTAAAATTATGTATAAGTATTAAAAATTAAAAGGACGATTTTTAAATTTTTCCCCCGTTAACCAATTCAAGCGCTGAGTAACAAACTTTGTAGCTGGTGTTTAATGTAAAAAGGAGAACAAATTATCTGATGAAATTCCAGTAAGTATTCCACAATAAAAAATATATAAAAAATGTTCTTCAAGATCTTGGGCTTTAATAAACGCTTAAGCTAGTTTATGCAATAAGTAGATGGTTTTAAATTCTTTTAGGCCTTTTAGATGAGTAATCCAATGACCTTCGAATTTCAAAGGATTTTCCACGTATATGTATATGTAATAAGTTAACTATTTTAATGTTACTTTTTTACTGAAAACCTTTAAGATGTGGTTAATTGAGGGATGTTTTACTGATATTTGTGCATAATTTAACAGAAAATGTCTGGCATAGCCGATTGGGTGTCGACTTTTTTTTACACCTCCTGAAAGCTTACTTGGAGGAAATTTAGTGTCATGCACAGAAGCATAATTTTTGTATTCTAAATTTAACCCGATTTTAAAAGCTGATACACACACCTTGGAAAGACAAGTTAAGTACTATGCATACCTTTAAGAACATATTGATCTAAATTATCACCTTTCACAAGTGAACCCACAGAACTCAATTTCTACTGGCATAGATTAAATTTTACTTGGCATAAATTCGAAAAAATTTTAAGTGTTACGACGCGTCAAGAACAAACATTTTTGTGACTCAAAGCATCTTTAAACCATAAAGGGGGCATTTCAAAAACTTATTTTATCATATGCAAACCGATCCGGCCTAATGCAAGCAAATGCGTGTTATTTGGATATATGATATTTTTATTCCTTCGATATAGGTACATATGTTCCTTACGTGCGTTTGTAGTAATATGGAATTCATTCCCATTTGAAGGCTTAGAAACGCGCGTCTGAATTTTCCGCTCTACTTAATACGCGCTCACTTCCTATTTGAGCTGTTTTTTAAAAAACATATACATATAGCAGTACACAAATAAGCTTTTCACAGAGTAGCGCACCATTTTATATATACATACATATAAATAGGCACATTACGTTCTTCTTTACTCTCTTACTTTTCGATCTTTTTGCTAAGTATATCTAGTATAAGCACATATACGGCAACTCTTTTTATTTGTTTTTTTTTGCTTTGCAGGCACGTTGTACAAAATCGGCGATGTACTGCCACAGGATACCGGAAATTGCCTGCAATGTGTGTGCATAGATGGCTCGACGAGCGATGACACGCCGCGCGTCACCTGCAGTCCGCACAATTGTCCGCCGCTAGTGCTGCCAGATCTCTTCGATGCGACAGGATATTAAGCAGCACGACAGATGACTGCAAAAATCAACCAATAATAACAACTACATACACAAGTCAGCTCATTCGATGCATCGCTGTGAATTCACTCAAACCCACGCACACATCAACACACACATACTCACAATGGACAAAGGCGAAAAATTCTATATGAGTGCATCACTACTGATGATAGTGGCAGTATCAATAACGATGCGTTTCGCTGGCAGATAGCTCATCAACTATAGCAACTGATGTCGTTGAATGTTGAAAGGTAAATTGCTTATAACATCAGACAGCGCGTGATTTATTGACATTTGGACCATGTCCGGGGGGAGGGGTACGCAAATCGGGGACGTATTAGATATTAGCGCTTAACAAAATCGTCAGCTATCAGCAGTTGCATTTTCCACCGCTGTTAAGTCAGCTTTAAATGTCATATTTCCTTCTGTGTAGAGTTGCATAAACTGGTATTCATGAAGCAGGCACACCAGGGCGTATACGAGCGCTGCAGCTGGCGCTTATATAACTTAGAAATGGTAGTATATACTGAACTGGGGCAAATTTACTCATATTTATTTATAGCAGTTGATTAGAAGTTTGTTTTTACTTTGTTTATTATTTATTTCCAGCAATGTGGTTTTTGTTGGTTTTCGTTGATAATTTTGAAATACACCCACATGTTTGCGATGTTGTGTGATTTTATGCTTTCACGCTTTGCTGATTTTGAAAATTATATACTTAAGGTTAACTAACCATGATGTGGGTAAGCCCACGCCCTTACAAAACTACACAGCGTGCGTATTTGTGAACACACAGATAAATATTTACAATTGTTATTGTGTTAATACCAATGAATTTGAATGAGCAAAGCATAATTATGGATAGAGGTTTGGTCACTAAATGGCTAATTTTCACTAGAAGGAAGAGTAGTAATAAAGTTGTGGAATTTTATTTCAAATTTGAAATGTTGTAGAGTTTGTCCAAACAAGTTATGAATTATGAAAACTGCACAGTACATATGTGGCCTTGAGAGCCAGAGTAGCCTAATTGAAATTTAAATAAAAATGCAGGTACAGCTTGAAATGCATTAATAGCATCGAATCGGTAATACCTAGACGCACGTGCATTTCGTTTTCTTTTACTAAAATAAAATTTCATCACCTGTGTAGGTGCAAGTAAGTTTCATTAAAAGACAGTGGTTGTTACTTCAGAAATATTTATTTAAAGATGCGATATCTTCTTAAACTTTTCTCATTTGACAACTCAACTTGAATTTTTAAACAGGGGGCAAAATTATCCAAGGATATTCATGAGCTTACTAAAGCCTCTCTCTATAGATACCCATATTAATATATTTTTTTATATTGTTTAATAATTTTATTTTGAATAAAATAAAAATATTTTTGAAATAAAAATCTCTTAAACGTCTTTGGATTTCGCATTGTGAATTGCAAAATATTCGTATTTAAAATATATGTTTCTGCACTGTAAATTTAAATATCTTCCTTAACTTTATTTACTTTCAGCTAATAAATCAATAATCTTCGGTCAAACCAAAAAGTACCGTCAAGGCATATCCCCCAACAAATCAAACTTTCAAAGAAACATCACGTTAAACGTATTCTTACACAAACCTTTATATACTATATATGTATGCTGGCGAAATAAAATTAAAAAAAAAAACACAAACCATATTCCTTCCAAACAATCTTGCACACAACTTCAGACAGCAAAAAAGGTCACCTTATTGTAAGTGTTTAACTAGCATATATGAAAGAAAGAATTAAAATCAATGATAAAGTGAATGAAATCAATTGATAAAATGAAACTAATAACATTGAAAGGGAAATCTCAAATTTTGAATCGATGCCAAAAAAATGCCCAAGCACATAAACTTAATTTTAGGTCGTACTTAGATTCCAACAATCTGAATAAGAAATATAGCAAATTAAAGGTAAAGAAATTCGTCGCCATAAACGAAATTTACTTCATTTTTCGACAAGTTTAGCGGCTTCTGAGAAGTTTATTAATCATTCCAGATTTTTTTAACGGAAAAGGAGCAAATCAAATTTTGGGAGGGAAAAAATTTAAAAAACTAAATTTTTTTGATTTCTTTCATTTTCATTAACAAAATCCTACTAACGAAGAAAATCGATGAATAAATAAAAAGTTTGAGTAGGTCTAAATTTTTTTGTAAGAAATGTTAGCAGAAAAGAATATTAGATACTCATACGCCATACTCGTGTATTTGAAGTTAGCATACAAAATGAGGCAAAAAAGATAAGATTCTGGTGTGAGTAGCTCATGAATCGTTCTTTCAAGCTATGCCAAAAAGAAGTACTTTCACAGAATTCACAAGGAAAGAAAGTTCTACAATAAAAACGGTATAAAACATCGGCCATCTAAAAATAGATTTGTGGGACTCAGAGGGTTGTACAACCGCCACCATCTTGGAAAGAAGGGTGAAAGGGTTTCTCGAATATTACATCGATTCCGTTCATTTTTTTTCGAAAAAAAAAACTTAACAACATTTTTGCTGGTTGAAAAAAAAACATTTTTTGTTTACGACTCTTTTCTAACGTCATTAATAATAATAATAAATTGTCGCTTACACATATGTTAGTGTTTGGCCGAGCTTCTCCTCCGACTTGTGGCGTGCGCCTTTTTGTTGTCACACAACGGGCAGGGACCTACAGTTTTACGCCGACTCCGAACGGCGATTGTATTTTTATGAGAAGCTGTTTTTCATGGCAGAAATACACTCGGAGAAAAAACCTTCTTTAAATTTTTTTTTTTGCGGTGTTGCTTTGATCAGGGCTTGAACTACACCACATAACATCATTATTTTGCATATTAATACAAAAATGAGTGTTAATTTTTTTACCACTTTTCGGCAGTGTATTTCCGCGCGATTCCTCATTCTCAAATCTTCCGAGAGAGCGCTAGGTTTATACAACTCATTTGAAAAAAATAGCAACAAAGTAGAACCATATGAAAACTAGAACCGTCCGAAAAAATGAACGGTGTCGATATAAATTGTGAAAAAGCTTTACACCATTCTTTCCAAGATGGCGGCAATTCCATAACTACCTGAGTATCGCAAATCTGTTTTTAACATCTCCTAAACCTACTCAACCATAACCCAAAGATGCAAACCAAAAATGGACAGAGTTTTGCTAATTTCACTAAACTATTTAATGTTTGAAAAAAATAAAAATTAAAGCTGTTCTCAGTTGCTTTTCCATAGCTCTAGAGTTCCTAAAAAGGAAAAAAAAGTTCTTCAAATAAGCCGAAAAAGAGTTTAAAATGTCCAAAAAAATATTTGCATTTTTCTGAAAACAATTTTTCCTTTGTAGGAGTGCTCTCTCAGAACAATCTTCATTTGTATTTTTATTTTTTTAACATTAAACCCCTGCAGCTTTTTTGAAAAGGAGTTCTTCCGGCCTAATTTTACAGAACTATCCTCTTTTCCTTTTCAGGATATGTAGAACAAATTAAAAAATTACAAAACATCTGCTCTTTTTTTAAATTTTTCCCTGTTAAATTTTTACTTTTTTTAATGTTTATAAAAAAAATCTGGAACGATTAATAAATTTCTCAGAATCGACTATTTTATATTGAGAAAAATACTGTATCTAAAAAAGTATACTGATCCGTAACCTACGATCCAAAATTAATAGCGTTTTCTCTTCTCGAAAAAAATGTCAACATTTTAAAGAAAGAGCACCGCAATATGCATGTGAAGATGCTGAGAAAAGAACACGAAAGCTTGACAGCGCTGGCGGAGGGGCAACATTATTTCGAGAAAAGAAAACGCTATAAGTTTATGTGAGTCGGCATCTTTTGGTGCCATTTTAGCATCTCTACAACGTAAAAAAATAAATAAAATTAAAAAGTGAATGTGTTATATAGTAATTGATTTTTGAACACACACATACCGAAACTCATGTACACATCACATAATACTTAAAACTAAAAAACCGAGTACAGATAACACAAGGCGTCATGAGGCTACTGCAGATATAAATTTAGAAACAAAAATTGTTAGGTTAACTATAATAGGCATACAAACTTATATGCATACAGTCTTATGTAAGCAACCAATATGCATATTAAAATTTACATAGGAGTAGAAACAACATTAAGTAAATCTGTAAGTAAATCTTAAAAAAAATTAAACTGATGAGACGAACTCTTACCAAATTAGTTTTCGAAAAAATAAAATAAACAAAAACTCATATATGCAAGCCAAATTAAATAAATATAAGTAAAATCAACTAAAAAAACTGACTAAAGACAAATAATTTCATTTCGTTATTATACAAATAAATACAGTTAAGTTAAATCAGAAATGGTAAATAAATATTTGATCAAGCGGAAATTTTCGGAATATTAATATACTCTATTTATAAGGTAAATAAATACACATGTAACCAATAAGTACACTAAATAAAATCTACAATACTTTGTTTACGGTCTCCCTTAAAAATTTTAATTAATCCGATTAACTAATTTATTATGCATTATAAAAATTAAATTTGAACCTTGCTTATCCTTGCAAGTAGACAGTAATATAGCACATCGATATCTATAAATACATGTGTATGTATATTAGCATGGACCGAAAATACGCTTTTTTAGAATTTTGATTGGTAATAGCAAAAATAATCTGTGCGAAATATGACAATTTTCGGGCAATGCCTTAGGCTCACCCAAGTCCATCAAAGTACAATGTGCTTAAATAATATAATTTAATAAACTTTTTAATAAATAAATTTTTTTTTTTAATAAAAATACAATTGTCTTCGAAAGTATTGGTCCTACATAGTTTGGTATATGGATCTTTTTTGAGGAGAATCGAAGTAAGTTAAGAAACAAATTTTTTAGCACTTAAACTTTGATGAAATTGTCATATTTCGCACAGATTATTTTCGGGCCACTCTAATGTATACATATATATGTATGTATGTATTCACACATATACACGTGTAATCTGTTCAACAATAAAATCAAAGCACAAATTAAGTTTAAAAGAAGTTCGAGCTTGTTATTTCTAACATTTATTCAAGGATAATGACTTCAATTTGGATATATTCACTTCTATACATATGTACTAGACTGTGTCAAATAAAATGACTAATTTTTCTTCTTTCGGTCCATATGAAAATTTCGTTGGCGGTCACAATCAAAAATTTTGGAGGCAAAATTGCAGCCCCCTATCTTCAATTATCAGTTAGCGCTACAAAAATACGAATTTTTAATGAAAAAGAGTTGCGAGTTTAAAGTAGATAGGACACACCGTTAATTTTTGGCCATTGTTTTTTTCAGTTGAAGTTGTCGATCATTTTTTAAGGATAATTAAATTTGTAAGAGATTTGAGGGGACACATTTTTTAATTTAAAAATTAAATTTTTCTTAATGTTTTGAATAGTTTATTTAAATTTAGGACAAAAAAAAACATTATTAAGTGATTAAGAATTTGCGTTGATTTTTAACAATTTTCTAACATTTCGAGCACGTTTTTCGTATGTGGAAGAAAATGCCTAGCACCTTCAGCAAAAGAAAAATTTTAATAAAAATCAGCGTGACTTCTTGGCCACTTGAATCTTCCATTTTATTAAACGAAAATTTGGTTGGCTATTAAACGGCATAATTATTTTTTTTAAACTAAAAAAAAGAAATTTTAAAAAAAAATTTTTAACGTTTTGCATTTTTCTTCTGCATTTTTTTTTTTTAGGGTAAGCCTGTAATTTTTTTCAAGCGGTTTTCATTCTGTAACATTCATCATCAGGAACAGGAGAATCGATCATCTTTAAACTTGCTACAATAAAATAAAAACCAAAAAAGTGGACTCTTAAACCTCTTACGATGTTTATTATCTTTCAACTATATAGATGAATATTCGTTAAGAATTGTAGACTGTATACCTCTTTGAATACCGCACATGTGCAGCGCCGCAACCAATTAAAGGGTGCCCCATTAAGAAAGCGCATTTTTATTCTAAAATGCTAAGCCATACATTTTTTCGTAGTTGTGTATATATTTTAATATAAAGAGTATAGCCTGCAATCAAACGTGGACAATAACATCCCACAAATGAACACCTCGTCTTTTTTTTTTCTTCACGTCTTCTCACAATAGGGACCCAATGGTGCAATTAGCATACGTGCAGGATTTTAAAAAATTCCAAAGCAAGACCGCAAAACATCCACTATATATTTTCGGAAGTGTGTATATATGTATGTAAGCATGTGCCAGGTTGCAGCCTAACGGACAGACAGAATCGAACAAAATTTTGACATCTGGGCCAATAATAGGGTGAAGAAAATTGGGATTCGACAAGGGGGCGTAGCACCTCCCATAGGCGTGAAATCTTTAATCAGCTATAACTCCGGAACTATAAATCACTTGAACTTGAAATTTGGTATGCTGTCATATATATGGTAGTGCCTTATAGTAGGCTACATATAAATGGGTTTGTAAAAGGAGGTGTGGCACATCCCATAGACGGAAATTTTTTTACCAGCTATAACTTCCGAACCATAAGCCTCATGAGATTGAATTTGGAATTAGATACTATATCTATAGTGAGTCCTTATAGCAGGGTGTATATAAATGAGTTTGTACAAGAGGGCGTGACACATTCCATGGGCGTGACATTTTCAACAGAT